GGAGTCGAGATGCCACCGCTTTTTCTATACTTTAGATAAAAATGGCAAATTTGAAACAGGTCTGTAATTTTTGAATTCATCTTTGTCAAGTCCTTGGCGCTTAATCAAGGGACGTACTATAGCCTTTTTGAAATCCAATGATACTGACGCTTCTGAGAAGGATTTGTTGATAATTTCAGTGATGATTGGCAAAACACTCTCCAAACATTGTTTCAAAACACTTGTGGGTATTGGATCTAACTCGCAAGACTTCGTTGGTGCATCGCCGATAATGTCACATACCTCAGCAATCGACACTGGTTCAAACGCTTCCAGAGGAATGCCATCAAACTTGATGTCAGCTCGAAGGACAACATCCATGGTAGGAAAACTCAGTCAAGGAACAAAGGTTTTCTCTGATTTTCTGAATTTTACCGATAAAAAAATTCACCAAATTTGGATGCGAGATCGATTTCGCTGTCATGCTCTGGCAGCACTGATAAATTTGTGTTTCCCATAAGATTGTTGGTAAGTTTAAAAAGCTGTTTGGAGTCGCTGCCTATTTCCTGAATTTTGTTTATACAAAACTTACTTTTACAGTGTTGTATGAGTTTTGTAACCTGCATACATTTCTGATTGAAAATGTCCTTGTGGGACTGCTAGGTTTGTTCTTCTCATAGTTCGTTCAGCCCTTCGGCGATCTCTCTTAGCAGAATAAAGATCATCCGTAAACCAAGGAGTATTCGGTCGTATAACGATCTCCTTTGATTTCTGAGGGGGCATGAACATCAATGGTAGCAGTTAGAACTCTATTGTAGTGAATGGTAAGCTTTTCAACAGATGCTTCCTTGTAAGTCACGTTTGAAAAATCAAGATCGTGTTTGAAACTGCCTATGTTGATGTCCTGAATTTTCCGAAAGGTTTCTCTCTCTCTCTCTCTCTCTCTCAGAAGCTCTGGACAAACGCAGTAAAGTGCGAATTGCGAGGTGGTCACCACTTCGTTTTGCCATTATTGTCGCATATACCAGGATCTGCTACAAATGGTGTTCCCTGTAATATAGGACTATCTTCTCTGGTTATCAACACATCTAACGTATGGCCAAGACGATGTGTTGCATCGGAAATATGCTGCTTTAATCCATGTTCTGTTAGCAACTCTGTAAATGTTCTAGCATTTTTGTCATTGGGATCATCAAGATGGAAATTTAGATCACCTGTGATAAGTTATACAGGTTTCCAGGTCGGCCTTTCCCCTGTCATTCGTGACAACAATAATTCAACAGAATGTCAATAAGCTGGACATTTCAAAACAGAAGATTTGTACAGAAAGTTCTGCTAGAATCCCGAACTAGCATCGTTTTGCAAACAATCTCGTTTCATATATATAAATAAAATAAAAACATCGGATAAGATTTTGTACGAATAAATATCTTACTGACAGGACATTGGGATACTAGCAGAACTTTTTAAGCAAAAAGGTAGTTAAAATCTGTAAAGAAATTACCAGTAAAAGAAAAGGAAAAGGAACAAAAATTTTACAATTATAATCAGAATTCATTTATTTTCATGAGAAAAATTGGGTAACAGATCAACATTATCATGTCATTATTTACACACAGATATTATTTCAACAACATTCCATAACAGCCTGAATTTCCTCAGCCTTTTAAAAAAAAACGTCTATTTTTCTAAACCTTGACAACAAAAATGGTCATAAACCAAACACATATCACAAAGAGTAATTTTATACTTATTTTTTCATAACTTTATTTCGAATAAAATATATTAAGCTAATTTTCAGAGGGGAAAAAGTGATATGGTCGTGAGTCAAATAAAATGTTATGCTTCTGCATTTTCTCTGGTCTATTTTTAGGTCATCTGTTAAGATAAACATTTTTAGGTGACCTGAGCAAATGACCTATTGCTTTCCGTTTTCTGCTTCGTCGCGTATATTGTGTGTCGTGTGTTTACATTTGAACATATTTAGATTCTTCTCAGAAAGCACTTAACCGATTTCAACCACATTTGTTTGAAGCAATTATGGGTGAAAGGCAACACAAGTTGTAAATTTCTGTGGGGACAAAACCACTAAAATTCATGCAATCTTAAAAAACTCTTCTTTACTCCTGGACATCAAACAGTCAAATTGTTTGCATGAATGTAATGAGCATTTAGTCTTCTACCACAATTGTGAATTAAATTGATGGCACCAGGGTCAAGGGGTTCTATACTGCTAGGGCGGGGCTCTATTGAATATACAGTGAAAATGTATTATTCCTTTGATTTTTTTTTCTCTCTGCTCCTTGGTATTAAATAAACAAACTAAGTACATACTTATAATGTGCAGGGATGTCTCTTCCCAAACTGTGTATTTTATAGCTTAAGGATCAGGGGTTCCAGTGTTAGAGTGAGTTTCTTTTTGATTATATGTCATTCCGTTTTGAAAATAAATTTTAAAGGAAATAATGTCATCTTGTACTTTTACGTATTTTCAAAAGATGTATGTTTATATTACCTTTTAAAAATAATTTGTTTGAATGTTCCAATGATTCATGCTTAGCAGCAGTAATTTGATCAAAAGTTCATGATAAATTGAGCGACTAACAGGGATTTATTTTACTTGCAGGAACTCTATCTGGAAATATCACTATTTATGGTTTGGCAAAACGTCCATCGTCCATACCTTTGTCGCCAACATCAAATCTACCCTCTGGGTATTTAAACATACTGGGATAAAATCGGTCAAATTTATAATTAATAAAGAATTAAAAAAAAAATACGAATGAGTTAAGTTTGATGCTTAAAATGAAATTGTTCTTTTCAATTTACATTTAGTTAGAGAAAAAAAACAAAAATATTTAATGCCAAAAAAATATACATACATAATACACACAAACTGCCCTTCCTCTAGAATTATTTACATTCATATAATACAAGTATAGAGTACAGTACAAGTACAGATGTTAAAGAGACAGCCCAGGAGAACATTCTAATTCATACTGATAGTTACTCAGCATGGTGCAAAACTATAATTTGGAGAAGGCTTGATTTAATTTAATTGCCTGAAATTCAGGGTGTAGAAGAAATTAATAGTTTATATGGATATAAGTTAGAACGCGCACTTCTATGTAAATAGTGCATTGTAAATCAATTTTATGCAAATTTTTAATGCATAGCTCACTTCCAGTTTAAGGTTTAAAAACTAATTAAAATTCCATCTTATTTTAAATTATGTACTTATTTAATCACTTTATTACATGTACATGATAAATAATACACCGTTTTTAATTGAGATGCAGTCATTGCTAGCTACTACAGGTACAGATAATATAAGAACTGACACGATTTAAACGAACTACAATGTATAGACAAGAATATGAAGAGACCCATTCTTGTTTAAGAACTGTTAAATACCCTGGTACATTTTACCTCACTTATTGCCTCTAATTAGAGAAACACCAACACCTTACGAACAAACGTACATGTAACTCGCACGAACTTACCGTATCAGGATAGTTTTTCTCGGGACCGGTGATTGCACCCATATATTTCTCATGTCAATTTTTTGTAAGTATTTACAATGTTATTATAAAAGCGGACAAGTAGAGAAAAATTACGGGTTAGGACACACGTTGTCATGCTTTAGTGATTAAACGTACACATATTACTAGTAGTATTCGCTGTTTTCACTTAGTGGAAAGTTTACATTTTACAGTTTGAAAAAAATATACTCACACCCCTTATAAATTTTGTGCATACGAAACCAACATGTTAAGAGCCATTCTATGTAACCACTTAAAATTTGTCGACACGCATGGTCACCGATATTTATGAAATTTCACACATTTTAAGTATTTCACCCAGGAAACAAAGATATGGAGATAACGAACAGTATTCAATTTCAAAGTCCATAAAACAATATAAAATAAGAGCAGAGCAAACACGGACCCCCGAAACATCAGAGGTGGGATCAGGTGCCATGGAGGAGTGAGCATCTCCTGCCGACCGATCACAGCCATCGTGTGCTCCTTGTCATGATCAGGAAATTACGGAAAAAATACATCGTCAATTCAGTGTATAAATAATGGATTAACAATTTTTTTTATGAAAAACGTCAGTCAGCATTTGACTCAATGATAAATTCTATTTGCTGACAAGGGCATTGTATCGACCATAGAACTTACGAAATGATGACTATAAACGATACTGCTAATATTCTTGTTTCGTCAACTTGTTTGTTAATAATTTACCTCGTTTTAGAAATTGTTCATACGTAGAGCATGCTCTTGCGTATCGAATTAACCAAAATATATACATTCCGTATTCATGTGATTTAGTCTGCATAAGTAAGGGAAGTTTACGAAAGAAAAGTTCAAATCATCACGTTTATCATATAGATTGGTTGTTAGAGTACAATTAACGTCTTTTTTCAAGTACAATATCCAAGTATGAAACAGATGTGTCAAACTCTGTGGTACTCTTTCTCAAAGCCTCCTGGATATATCCTATTGACGTAGAAATGAAAAATACCATTATTAATTGACAATATATCGATATATCTGAAGGAAGAGTTCAAGGCCACTGTAAGTGTTTTCTTTTCACTCATAAGATTTTGCATAAATTCTGTTTCAGATGAATATAAAAATAGGTCTGCTAATAACGGAGCGAAATTGGTTCCCTTGGAAATTCCAATAAATTGTTGGAAGGCCTGGTCTCCAAAAACACATAGATATTGTCAATGAGAAACTAAGCATCTTCTTTGAATTTAGAGTGAGTAGTAAGATTTCATATGCTCCTGGCTGATCGTGATAGTTGAAGAGAAGAAAATCATTTTTGAGCATTTGTAAAAATATAAAGTAAAAAATGGGCAATCAGTGGGTTATTTCTTTAATGGTTGGCTTCATAGCTTTATCTAAAGCGACCATTATTTCTCAAAAATATTCGGCGAAACTGGAATTCAATGATAGGAATTCGAAATCAAAATATGAACTTTTACTCATTCATTGACCGAATGTGCAGCGATGTGTCAAAGGGAGTGCGTCTTATTTGGATTCAACAGTCAAATGAAGAAATGTCGTACCCACAAGAAACTATTCACGTCTGAGCTCTCTGAGGAGGTCAGTTGGAAATACTACTCGGATAGCGGTATGTATATTTGTTATTTTTTTTTTAATATCTGTTTGCTATTTTGGTTTTTAAGTTCCCTCTCGACACGTAACGATATTTTTCTTTGGCATTTCTTTTAAAGTGGAATAGACTATTTTCAATATAATTGATTCTTATAATATTTTTTTCTCTCTGTATACTTTTTCTTTTATTTTTTTTAAATCAATGATCAATTTGGTATTATTTGAACTATTATTTGTGATTTTCTCTATTCTCTATTTTCTCTATTCTTACTATCTATTAGTATATAATGGAAAACATGAAATAAAATTCTTACACCGAGAGTATTTAGTAATAATATTCATTTCAGGTTTTTGACAATTATTTTTCTAATCCATTAGTAAATTAAAGCTTGTAATTAACTAGATCAACAACAAAAAAACTCACTTTAAGCTAGTTCCTCGAAATTGCTTTCTTGAAAGCTGAGATGTGAATCCTGTGCCATGGAAGAGTAAACATCCTTTGTCTACCGGTCAGATTCAACGTGTGTCCCCTGATCTGGAAAATGGAAAGTTTGTGGATAATTCATTTGAAAATAAAAGCCTTACAATCTGTAACTAGATTTTTCAACAGCTATTTTATTCTCCTTATGGTTTATCATCCGATCTACAAATGCATTCATCTTTAACATTTCTTTCAATAAACAGATAATTTATTATATTATAAATAATTGTATTAAATTTTAAATACCTTTAATCATGTAAAAAAATCAGTGATTTGTAAAAATTAGAAAACAAAAATGATTTTAGATAATGGGTACCAGTTTAACATAATCTGCATTGTACTTGTAGTTAACATTTGGGCTTTAACAATTAACATTTATATATGCAAGCATTATATATCCTCTAACTTCTTGTAAATATACATTGTATGATTCTGATTTTTTATTTAAGATTTTGTTGCAGTGCCAAAAGATTGTAAGGATCTTCGCGAAGACAATCAAACTAGTACAGGGGTGTATGATATATACCCCTACGGTACCTTGATCATTCCTGTCCGTGTCTATTGCGATATGACCACAATGGGCGGGGGATGGACGGTATGTAGTTTATCTTAAAATTAAAATTTCATGATAAAACTCACATTGTTATTGTTTTTTAAGGATTGTAGGATATAAGGAATGTGAATTTTTTTGTTCGAAGCAATAAATTGAATGGTTATACATGTTAATTTTGGAAGGCCATTCAGAAACGCGTAGACGGATCTGTGAGCTTTGACAGGACCTGGAGGGAATATAAAAATGATTTTGGTTCACCTGAACAGGAAGTCTGGGTTGGTAAGTGTTAACCACTCTGAAATCGGAACTTTTTATTCCTTCAAAGTTTGAAAAAACAAATTCTTGTGACAGGTAAAACAATTAAACCGCAATAATTATCTGAGTTCAAGACTAGATAAATATGTGTTCTACAACATTCGCATATCGTGTTTAATTGATATCTAAAAAAAAGAAGAGAAGAAAATCATTTTGGAGCACTTTTTATGAGACTTAATTAAGCAGTATTGTACAGCTAAGGAAAATAATTTCATTTTTCATGAATGTAGCTTTATATTTTAAATAGAATTATTTGTATCGCAATGGACTTTTCATCCGATTTCAAATATTTCTTAATACAGGAAATGACGTAATCCATCTGTTAACAAAGGGGAAGAACTCATCTCTGTTTGTTTCCATCACTCTCGAGGACGAAGAAACGTTTTATGAAATGTACGACGGATTCTCTGTCTCTGATGAAGCTGGAAAATATCAACTCTTTCTCGCCGGACCTGCCACGGGAACACTTGGTATGTGTATCCATGTTAAGGTCTTAAAATAGGATTCAAATTATGTATATCATCCTATTTATACTTTTATGTATTGAAAAATCATTAAAGTTTGTAAAAGAGATAAAGATGCGTGTTTCTTTTAAATATGCTGTATACCTTTATGATTTCACGCTTATAAATTATGTTTTATATCTCAGAATATAATTTGCAGGTACAATTCAGGAATTCAGCAGACATTGAATTTGTTAATGTCAAGTAACTAAAATTTCAAATTATATACAGTATTTTAAATAAAAAGAAAATCATGTAATCATTTTAAACAAACAGATACTGTAATTACATTTGCTCAACCATTGTTCCTTTGTTATTCAGCTCACGTTTCTGGTATTTTTTTTTTTTATAATTCACATTTAATCTTCTACGGAAAAAAGAAGTAATTGATCTAAAATATCAACATCATCACAGAAAATGGAGGATCCAAAAAATTATTTGGTCGAAAACATATTCTAATAATAAAAATTCAAACACCTCAACGTGTTTCACATTTACAATACCTTTTCTCTATGAAATGAAAATCTAGTCTACTACGGAATACTTTACAGAGCGTCATTAATCTTACATGTCGAAAAATTACGAAAATTTAACGATAAAAAAATCATATACATACTCAAATTAAAAAAAAAAAAAATAATAAGAACGCCATATTCAAAACACCTCAATGTGTTCCATATTTTCAATACCTATGCTTTATCTAATGAAAATCTAATATTTTAAAACATTTACAGGTACACCATATCTTTTATCGTTATAATTTTGAATGATTTATTTCGTATTGCATTTTATACATTTTTAAAGGCACGATCTCTAAAATGAATATTGTCTTTTTTCATTTATACATGGTTATTTATATTTCCACAGGCCTTAACCCCCCCCCCCAAAAAAAAAAAATACTTTTAAGGTGTAACACACCTGTTACACTGGAAAGGATGATATATGAATTGCGCAGTGTTTTGTTGTCTTGTTTTTTTTCAGTTATCTCTCTTTACGGGAAACAACATGTTAAACTGTGTATTTTAGACGTAACTCAGTATTAAAATTCATGTGATGTAAATTAATAATTAAGGTAAGTCACTCGTCAGCTTTTTAGAAAAGTTCACGCAGAAGCTTTTACTTCAAAACTACTTATTAAAATTCAATTTTTATAACATATTTAAATTCAACGATGTAAATTTTTTAACATTCGATGAAAAATCTGCCCAAAAATCTACAAGGAAGCAAGATTTATGAGGGACTATTTCTATGAGGGTGGAAGGATATTTAGCAGAAAATTCTGCAAATCTGCACATTTATAAAATTTAATGCAATGGAAATTTAGCCTCACATACTTTTACTCGGAGAATATTTTCCGTTTTGATATTGCTAAAACTATTTAATATAGGTCTTAATTTATATTGTTAGACTAAGTTTTACACCTTCCCTCAACAAACTTTGCCAAAAAATGAAAATATATTAAAGAAGTCAAGATCAAATTTACAATATTTTGTGCCTGAAAATCACATATTTTGACAAATATTTCAAAATTAACATCACTGACCCCACCTTTTTCTTTCATTATTTTAAACTACTCGATACTTGTGACTGATCAGCACTAAAGTCGTAAAAAGTTTGATATAAGAAAAAATTTTATTGCCTATTATTTTTTTTAATACCCCCAAAATATTATTTTTTAGTGCAAAAAGGTCACACAATAATTAACGCGCATTAATTTGCAAGATTTGTTTAATGATAAATATTATTCAAACTATTTTACGTAAAATAAGATTATACTTATTGCCATGCTTACATTTGATCAAATATAATAAGGGTTACATTAATTAACCAAAGAGATGAAATTTAAGTGCAAAAAGGTCAACTTAAATGTACCGTAGATCAGTAGGATGCACACTGACCCCCTATTTTCTTTGCAATTTTGAGTTACACTTTATGAGTACTTATCCAAAATATACTTCTCAAAAAATCCTTGATATAACAAATTTCAGGAGTGTCTTACCTTAACAATTGTGAATTGTAACCATTACAATAGGACCGTTACATATGTTCCCCAAACGCTTTCTAAATTGTGCTTTATTTCTGTATCAGGACTTTTTTATTTGCTCAGTATTTCATTTAAGTATAAAAACTACAATTATATCATTTAACATTTTGCATGCGCGAACACGTGCATACATATGCAAGATGATCATGGGATGTTGGCTAAATAATTAACATATATTGATATACTAAGAATAAAAAAAATACGGATATAAATATTACCATTTTAAAAGTATATTATTCATTTCGCACATGCAAACGTGCATGCATGTCCTTGCATTAAGTTTTGATAGTAGCATAATGTTGGAATCTATCATACCTTTTTATATTCTTAATTAAATCCCATTTTGCCGATAAACAAGCACGTGTGTACGTGATTTTATGATAATTCTTATATATCATGCTGTAGATCTTAATAAGGAAAGACAATGTTTGAAATTTTTAAGAATTTTGACGAAAAACAAGAAGGATATTGAGACTTTAGTTTCACCAATCAGAGAGAAGAGCATTTGCATGCGATTAAGATCTTGTTATTTTGACCATGTCATCTTGTCTGTACTAATAATATATCCATACAATATTAGTTTAAAATAATCATCAAAAATTAGAAAAGTTACGGCTATATCCATTATAATGGTAATTCCATGTGTTGCACGTACTCGCTCTTGCCAGCACACGTGGATGTACGTGCTTTCATGAAGTTCTTGTATATCATGCTGCAGATCTTCATAATGTGTGACTATGTTCAAAATTTTAAAGAATTATGAAAAAAAAATCAGAAATATATTGAGACTTCAGAGCGAAGCACACATGCAAGCGCGTGAGATCTTGCTATTTCGACCAAGACATCTTGTCTTTACTACTTACATATCCATAAAATATTAGTTTTAACAAAATCCATCCAAAAATATAAAAGTTATGGCCTTATCCATTACATTGGTAATTTCATGTGTTGAACGTACCCACTCTTGCAAGCACGTGCGCGCAAAATGACTTACGTTCAGCAAATCTATATAACATGCCTAATTACCCTAAAAAGGTTTTACCTTAATTAGACAAGTAGTTCACTAACGGATAAATAAGTACCCTAGAAAAATAATACTAACTAGTTCCCCAAATGCTCCCCAACTTTCTTTCAGTGCCAATTTTCACTAAACATTTTTTATATACTCAGTATCAAAGGATTTTTCATAAAAGAATTATAATAGCTAAAATGATATAAACTATATTTGATTTTGACGTATTGCACGCGCATGCATGTGTGCATGCATGCACATGCAAAATGATCATGGCATCTTGTAAAAACCATTAACATATCTTTATATTCCGAAAATCAATCAAAACATTATAAAAAAAAATAAATGTTACCGTTTTTCAAATGCATTGTTCATTTAACACATTGCGCGTGCGCAAGTGCACGCATGTCCTTGCATTCAATTTTGATAGCAGCATATTCTAAATTTTGTCTTGTTTTGTTGAGAAGCAAGAAAGATAAAGGCATTTAAAGTTTCAGTCAGTCAGATTGCAGTACAGGTGCATGTACATTTTTTCATGAAGATTCTTATATAGCATGCTAAAGTTCTTCATTATGTATGTCCTTGTTAAAATTTCAAAAGACATTGTCAAAAAACAAGAAGGATATTGTGACTTTAGTTTCAGTCAAACAAAACGAAGAATACGTGCATTTGCGCGAGATCTTGCAATTTTGATCATATCATCTTCTCTACATTACTAATACATGTATATACATATATCATGAGTTTAGAAAAAAAAATCATCAAAGATTTCAATAGTTAACGTCTTTCATAATTATGTTGGTCATTCCTCGTATTGCACGTGCGCGAAAAATGACTTTCGTCCAGCAAACCTACATAATATGCCTGCTGACCCTAAAAAGGTTTCATCTTAATCGGATTGCGTTTATCATTGGCGGGGGAAAAAGTACCAAGGAAGAAAAATAATAATAACTTTATACGTTCTTATTCCTAGTGCAACAAGTTGTCTTCCGACCGACTTTTCTTAGAGTTCTATGGTGCGTCATCCTAAGAAATAGATTTCAAAATGTATTTTCTCATTTACGTTCATTAACAGCAGTCTCTCAACGTTCACAATGATTAACATATCTGTCACGACACCCTAAGCTTGATCAATGATAACAAGACTATTTTCTATTTACAATTTTATATAAAAACATATATGTACAAATATACAAAATGAAAATTAATGAATTTCAAAATGTCTATGAGCGTTCATCTTGGACCACGTTCCCGAAACCGTCCACGTCTAATCCTTGTTACGGTCCATGTCATACGGGTACCACGCCCTTGCACAAAATGCCACAACGTCCTCGACGTCCCACGCCAATCCAAAGCGTCTTAAGCGTCCACAGTGCTGACAAAACCAGGAAACCACGTTTCCACACACACGGCCTCGGCCTAGCGTACCACGCCCTCGTGTAGTCGCCCAGGTTGCCACCGCCGACAGCACCAAACCATTGTGTCACCACATTTAAGTACATGTATCAAGAGGGACATTCAACAAATATGCGTAATAATAAGCTTGACCCCGAACGGGCTGCCTTACAACATAGCATAAATGTTTACACATATACTTGTTCAAACATACAGTTTTAACTAATATGTATCACACCGCTTCTTACGGCAAAGCAAAATAAATGTACAATATAACGTTACATTCTAAGTAATAGACTAATATCATTACTTTACGCTTAAACGCACGGCATGTGCACGTGATAAAATTCCCGTATACAATTCAAACACTTTCTCGTGGATAAAAATAGAATAAGCTCAATTTACATAATACTGCATTACATTTTAATATAATAAATGTAAGTAAATTACACTTACCCTGATTGGAGATTCAGTTACCACGAATAAAGGTACCTAACCCTCCATGGACATAACTGTGAAACTACTTTCACTGGTCAAGGAAAACGTGCGCTACCCAAGACAAACCTGACATCACCTTATATAGCGACTGGCCAAATATTTAAATCACCTGAGCATCACAATGGGGCTCTTTGCAGGATAAACGCTAAATACAAATAAGGGTCAACACAGGGCAATACTAATAAAACAAAAAAACAAATAAACAAATAACAAAATCAACTTTGATTGTGACAATATCATAAATATCTATACCTACATGTGACATCAAGATATTTTGATGTCCTCATTTTCAAATTATAAGATATTAAGTACCGCTGAAAATCACACTGAAACAATTAATAGTTTAAAAAATTATAATTTAATATTATTAATTTCTTAATCATCTACCTTAAAATCGCTATTCAGAGTCAACATTTTGTTCTCGAAAAATTGAAATTCTCAAAAGTTTATATATTTAAATGACTGTTCTAAATTTTGTTTTTAGTCCTAACCGGATAATTCAGAAATTAGAACATGTCAGTAGTTTCACTGTTTCATAATAGCACGTAGTATGCTAAGAAATATGGGAAGGGGGTAGCCCCTCGTTATTTTCCGAAGATAAGTTTCTTGCTATTAATATAAGTTTTGATAAATAACCGATCACCCCACCCCACTTCACTTTTAGTTAACGAACAACACCCCTCCTCTCCCAACACACACGTGTCTTTGGTATATTTTTGTGAATGGGAAATTCTTTTTAAGACAAAGAGTTTCCGGAAATTTAAATTTTGGGCAATTCAATTACATTTTTCCCTTACATTTAGTCCATAATATTTTTCCCCTTCTTAACGTGAAAAAAGGTATAACGTTACACAAAAAACTGATATTTTTAGTGCAACACTCGGGTGCTTCTTTGATAAGGTGTAAAATATCATCTTTGTATTTAAACTAACAAACATCGTAACTTTTGTTGCAAAGAAGAGGCCTTTTAGAAACCTCTTTTTTTTATAATTTGTGTAAATCATCAACTCATACTCAGTACACAGACTGCTTAGAAACAAGCTAATACTTACAAGGTCCAAAATCATAATCATCAAAACAAACAAAGGATGATTTAAGGACAAGTTTTCCGCTGTCTTAAAGTTATATAAAACTAAGGCATGTTCCTTGATTTAAGAAATCTTTAAGAAACTGACTTAAGACTAGGACACTTCTAAGACGTCATTACGACACTCCTAAGTCCTAAGATAGCTTGATGAACATGCCTGCTGGAATTCAAGGACTGAACTATTTATATACTATCGCTCTTTTCAGCACCTAAAGCCGTCTATCATAGAAGTACCTCAGTATTATTATTGACAATCAAATCGAAGATATATAAATCATTTCTCTCTGTGATTGGTTTTGTGTAATTTTACAGAAGACTCTATGTTTGACACTGGTTACCCCAATAACTACGATCTGTCTAGGAATGTTCTTCTCCACCCCAGACAGAGATAACGACGGGTCTAGTGACCGTCACTGTGCTGCTTACAGTTACACTAGAGGAGGCTGGTGGTTTAACAATTGTCATGACGCCTTCCTCAATGGTCAATGGTCTTCGGAGTCCTGGCTCAAACCGTGGTTTCCTAAAGTAAGGAGTGCATCGTCTATCAGAGAAACAACGATGATGATCAGGCGTCACTAGGTAATCCTCATTTTAACATTATAACCATTTTTGTTTTCTTTTTCTATTTCTGTGAAAATTTCAAACGGTTATTTGAAGTTCTTTTTTAGAAGGGTATGCTCTTATTTTCTGTGAAACATTAATTTAATTCTTTTTTTTACAGACGAAAGATCATCCATCAAACGATTTTAAATCAATCTTTATCGCGGGGCTTCATTTTAATGTTTAACATGGCAAACTTGTAAACATATATTTTCGGTAAAAGGAGGGGGTTTCAACAATTCTTTAAAGCAGTAAATAATTTGTATTTTTTCCTACTTAATGTAATTAGTAAAAGATGTACATTATATAAGTTGTAATAAATTTGAATTTAGAAATATTTTGTTTTTATTTACAAACACTGATTAATGAAGATGTCTAAACGGTTAATTAGGATAAAGATTACTTAAGTGTAAAACCCATTACAGTGGAACCTGTTTAATCCGACACATTTGCAATATGATTTACTGTGATTTCCACCATTCAATTTCATTATTAATTTCTACTTATGTCTATGATCTTCACACGTTTCAATTCTATACCTTGTTACACATACATTTGTAATCTGTTTCCCGTAAATGTCGGATAAGACAGGTTTCAGTGTATTAAAGATTTAAAGATATGTATAAAAAAATTAATATAATATAGGTAAATATAGGTATATTTGATGTTCATGTTTTGCAGAATAGTACGTCTAAGATTATGCTATTCTAAAAACATACCCATATCTTTTTCCATCAATGCAGTATTTTGAATGGAGGGTCATTTATTATCAATTAATCTACATACAAAAAAAAACTTAAATGGGTGTCATTGTTCCTTTTTAATATTATGAAGAAATTACATTAATTGTTGACGTCAGACGTATTGAAAATTTCTTCCCAAAAATCTAATTATACTATATATATATATATTTAAATACCCCGGTAGCTAAAATTTTACGTGTGGCACGAAACGCAATGATGTCAGGCTCGTACACCTGACAGGTCTAATCGATTTATCAAGGGTAATTTATGAGCTTAAAGTCAAAATATCACATTTTCTGAAGATTAGTATCCCATAATTTTTTAGATGATCGTTTAAAAAATCTAGATTTTTCTGCTCTTGAATGCATACAATACGTAATTTTAGACTATTATCCATGCTGTATACATGTAATATTTTAAACACAATAACACAGAATGGGAGTCAAAAGGTATCAATGAGTGATATCGTTTTATTCTGACGTCACAAATGTTAAATGCTGTGCAAGAGCAGCGTCAAAAGCGAAAATCAAAATTTAAATTTAAGAAATAAGGTATCATTTGGGGGGGGGTGTGTAAAACAGGTTAGTCACGTGATCAAATTCCATAAAGCCCTGCTTTCAATTGTTAATATATAGGATCAACAAAAAAAAAATGTCAGTGAATATCTAACTGATATAATGATAAACATGTTCCTTACTGTTGAATTGGAGGCAACAATAACAAACTTATTTTCATGTGAAAGTTTTTGTTAAAGTATAATATAACTCGCATGAAAGCAAACAATTGGTCTGCTATTAACGGTGCGCAATATGTACCTATGGTACGTCAGATTTATCATTTATCATTGATAGACTTAGTCTCAGATGGATCTGAACTTGGATTTAATTCTACCAGTGGTAATCAAACTTATACTCATAGTTCCCTTTTTAAGAAAGATATTCTTCAACCTATTCTTCATGTTCTTCTTTATCTTATAACTAATAGTCCTGCTGAAAAGGTCCTAAATAAAGAGAACACCAATCTTTCATCTGGCGTTGGGATTTCATGAATATTACGGATTTTGTTGAATAGTACTCCAGGCGATAGGCCAAATATCAAAGAAAAGACGTTGGCACTTTGTCAGAATGGGTTAAATGTATCAGATTTATGCTACAATCCCATATGAAAAGATTGAGGGTCAATATGAAAACCATCTATCCTCGTGTATTCAATAATATAGAAGTGAAAAGGGAATTATATAGATTACATCATCAGTACGCACTGGTTCCTGCTGAGAAAGCAGTTAAAAACATTGTCCTTGTTTGTAAGGCCCATTATATAAATTGTATGAAACATATGGAAATAACATACAGTATTCAAAATCAAAAGTCGTTATAACAAGACAAAACAAACAGGAGCAAAGCAAACACAGACCTCCTAAACATCAGAGGTGGAATCAGGTGCCATGGAGGACTGATGTTGCGGGGTTCTGTGTTTGCTCTGCTACGTATTTGTATTGTTTTATGGATTTTTGGGCTTGAATACTGTTTGTCATCTCCAGATATTTCATTTACAAGAGATAAATTGTTACAGCCCCGAAAGAGAATCCGAGGACCCTCAGCCATACTGTATCCCCTTCCTTCTCCGTGCAGAATCAAATTTGTATTTGAAAAAAATAATAAATCAGTCCAAATTAAATGAAATAAAGTCCTCTCAGCATTTTTGAAATTTGCTGCATTTGGTCAACTTCTTTACCTCATTTTTATGGTCCTTGGGCCTTATTATATTATAGATAATACATTTAAAAATGACCCATATCTACCAAAGTTATATAAAACACGTTTAAAATGTAATATTTGCTCTAAATAATTATTCAAGTAAATGATCTCAAGTAAGACATACATAAGGAAATCAAAACACAAAGTCTTTTTTTTACTGGACTTTTGCGAGAAGCACTTACTTTTATATTTGACGGTTTTCTTTGACATTTAAATATGTGTCATATACGGAGGTACATATTTAATAATAGATAAGAAAACCTTTCTAGTGATCATAAGTATGGTGTTAGGGGGCACTAATATGTGAAGGGTTGTATTTAAGGGTAGGGTCGTTGTCGGATTCTTTATGGGCAACTTATACGTGCTTTATCTCTGTCCATTACTCTCACTATTTTCTTTTAATGTTGAGATAAATATTTTTATTGCAAAGAATCGTATATTGTTTAAGTGTAAAAGTAAACCGTCAACTGTAACAGTCAGCGCTGCTCGCAAAAAGCCTCTGAATTGAACATATTTTATTGAACAAAGTCAAAAGGATCGGACACAAGTTCAGTAACTTAGATAGTCCTCTCCTAATACAACATTTTGTAAAGTTGCCAAAAATAGAAGAAAAAAAAACAGATATACATATGGTCTACTACATTGTAGCAATAGAAAGGGGAAAAATTCTTTAAATGTACAAATATAATTTGACATAGTATGAAAGAAAAGGAAACTTAAATATTTTGAAAAACGACCACATTCATTTCAGAAAGTTTGAATAGTCGTGAAAAGCAGTATGTTCAATGGTAAGAGAATCATCGCCCCATAGCATTAAATGCATATCTATAACATGTAAATAATTAAATGATAATAGCTTATTCATTAAGAAATTTCTTGCTTTTCGAAATATTTACAAACAAAGAACATATGATATGCATCTTCTGGTAGTCCACAGGAATAATTAGGACTGGTTGTTATATCACAGCGATATAAATCAGATTTTAAAATACAATTATGTCTTAATCTTTTATGAATTATGTTCAAAAACCTTTTTTCCATAAGAAAAATATTTCAGAGGTTTTAAATTACTATTTTGCAGATAGTTTTTAAAAATTTTAATAGAAGTTGCCTCCCTTGTTTTAAGACTAAGAGAATTCCACTTTCTTAAAGTATCGGGAATAAATGATCTATTATATACTTCTAATTTGTATTTTGGCAAAGAATAATTTAAAGAATTCCGGGTAGTGTATCCTGAAATATTGCCTCTTGTATCAGGTAGTAAGCTTTGTATATAGTTAGGTATAAATTATTGTGCATTTTATACATTGTTATTAGTTTTGCCCTATTTCTTCTATATTCCAATGGTTCCCAACCTGTTTCCTAATATAATGAATTTCTTGAAGCAATAATTGTAAGTCCAGAAACTATTCTTGCAGCAAATAATTGTTCTTTTTCAAGATTCTCAATATCTGTTTTTGTGCATCCAGACCAAATTTCAACAGTATATTCAAGTTGTGGTCTAATAAAAGATATATACATCTGGGATAGAATATCTCTTGACACAGTAAATTTTAGGCCTCTATGGAACTGAAATCCAATAAAATGAAAAACAACAACAACTGACGAATACATGAAATCACCGGTTGTATTGTCTGCTTTTAATTCAAAAGAACCGGACCCTCCCCTATAAAAAAAATTCAATCCATTGGAGCACTTTCCTAATTAGATGTAAGACACCAAAACCCTATTGCTCCGCCAGAGTTCGCTGACGCGCTGAGCTAAAGTTCATTGGTCTGGCAAGTCAAAATGTGATGCTGGGGAAAACACGCCATGGTTATGACCCAATTCTGACACCGTTGACCAGCATTCAAATACAATGAGAGTAGTACCATTTCTCGGAAACGATGTAATGGACTTTGAGTATTACTTGCTCATACGTCACACGACTGATTAGAATCAAACCTAAATACCAGAAACTTCACGAACAAGCGTACTAAAAGGAAGAAAATATCATGTTCCCTTTTCATTTGGTATTATCTATTATTCCAATTCTGTACATGAATTGAACTCTCATTGTAATAAACAAGATGTTGAAGTTGGTCCAATCAAGACCCAACAAAAAATTTCTAGACTTTTGCTCTCTCCCTCCAAGTAAGTTACACAATTTTTGACTGATGAATGTTGGTCTCGAATAGTATCGAACTTTTAATAGTTTTATTGTATTGAATCAAAAGTTTCAAGGACTATGTATGTCCTGCTGAAATGGAATGACCTGACACCCTCTTCAAATAGAACACCCTGTATGTATATAAACTCAGGATGCAGCGAATCTGGGTCTTTACGGAAAAAGGTGATCACAGAAGAAGGAGTCTGATAAGAGGTTAGGGTAAATTAGGGTTTTAGAGAGAAAGTCCTCAATGAAAACGACAAAAACGATGACGTTGTAGACCATCAAAGAGCAGCAGATAATGATGAAATATTGTGTTATACTCAGGAC